TTATTATTATTATTATTATTATCATCATTATTATTATTATTATTATGTATCAATTAAGTTTATCTATTGAATCTACTGTATAAAATAAATTACATAGATCACACTATATACCATGTTGGTTTAAATGACTAGTTTCCATTGTCTGAGATTGTGGGGATAGATCAGAGACATTAGCAATTCTTTGAGGAGAGTCGCAGATACCGTTCACTTGAGCTACCCCGTTGACGTAAGGCTCTGTACGAGCCTCTATCGTCTCCAAACTGAGACGTGACTTTATATCTAATGTCGCGATATCCGCTATCGAGTTTTGCTTCTTCTCTTTGATTTTAATCGCCGCTGATTCTGAATCGTTTACTTCCGCGCTGTCTTCCATCTTCTTAGTTTCCATTTTTGAATTTACAATATCTTTTTATTTCTTAAAATTCCACACCAAAGATAGATTACGGTTATTCCGTCTTTGAGGCACTGATCTCTTCACGACTGTCGATCGTGCGCGAGACGCAACGACATGAGAATTTCTACGTGTGGCGTGATGTTTTTAACCGAATTTTCATAATTATTGTTCACCACGCGGTCGCCGAATAAAGATTTTATCTTAAAACACGGTCATTCGATAAACCGCTGAACGATGAACACCATATTGGACTTTCTGCGATGACTACTGAAACTTAATCACGGAATATGATTGTCTTCAAGACTTATCACAATCGGAGTTGCCAGATTGAAGACCCGACCTCCGAACGCACGCACAGACGAGAATCGTGTACATAGCTGCGCAGAGTGCTTTGCGCAGCACACGTACGCGATTCTCGCTTAGGGTGAAATCAGGTGATACGGAAAAGTAAGGCACTAGATATGTAGGTATTCTCATCCGCCATTTTGGTTCCTACTAGATGGAGAATTATAGCGTATATAGTATAGTATAGCGTACATGTGTAACACGTCAATTATTAAAAATGATTCAGGACTTTTTTCGACTCATTTTTTGGCAAGGAATAACGCTATGTACTTAGTGGGCAGTCTTTAAGTGTCACCCTGTATACGCTATAATTCTCCATCTAATAGGAACCAAAATGGCGGATGAGAATACCTACATATCTAGTGCCTTAGGAAAAGGGCTGCGGAACGGAGAGTGCGTCAATGGCTTAGTTTACACCGATTGTTTAGTACGCGTACCAAGTACCAAATCAGCTTTTTTGATTGGTGTAGATTTTACACTAAACGATTTATACCTATCGGAGAAGCAGATTTAGTACTTGGTACGCGTACTAAACAATCGATGTAAACTAAGCCAATAATTATTTAATAATAGTATTAAATAATAATTTGGAACTTACGAATATTGTTACATTTTCTGTGACCTGTCTCATAACGAATGCGCGCGATCTGAGATCTCGTACAAAGGAAAAATCTTTTGTCTCTAGAATGTCAAACAACTGAACCGATGCGTCGCGCAAGGAGTCGCGCGGCACATGATGCGATAAAATGGGATGTTTTGATTGGTTAATTCGTGACGCGGCGGATAACGCGACGCGTGACGCGTTTAGTAAAAATTCGGCCTTAGTCCGTAAATTCGACAAATAATAGAATTGTCGAATTTGTATAAAAGTTTTTATTTTTCACGATTCCGTTCCTAGGGAAAAATTACATAATCGATGTCCTGGAGAAAAATTACATGATTGATGCCTAGGTGTAGTTTTTGAACGCAGCCTATGAAATTTGCCACTCGATATCACTCTACATATTTTATATTCCGTGAACAGACGCGCTGTAGAGCAGTTGGAGAATCAATTGGTTGTAGTCTTTTGGAGTCGCTTGAAATTAGTTGGGTCGGTACGTACGGTAAGTTGAAAACTTAATCCAATTTACTTTAATTTATAAACAAATAATCTATTTGTGGAATGCATAAAATATTGTTTTATATTTTCTCGTTTTTCGATAAAACACTATAATTTTCCGTTTTACGTCGCATGTACGTCTAAATTAAATTTTACAGCGTACGAGCATCTCGTTTTTCAATATCGAACAATACTGCAAAATGTTGATAAATTACAATATATTACTGATATGATTACACGATCGCCGTTTTATTAATTATTTCGTTGATAGTTTTTGTTTTTTTTTTTCAATTTATGATTATCTCACGCGGTATTCACAAATGATCGCATTTCTTAACAACAGCATCGGAAAGGCGGCCATTACATGAACTTGTTTCAAGCCAAATCGTTATTTTTGGTGCTATGTATGCACGATAGCACGATAGTTGATATTTTCATAAATAAATCGATATTAATCATAAAAAAACAAACGCAATATATTGAATATGTGATATTAACTTTATAAAATTATATTTTTAGTGTTCATAATTTTTAAATGAGTAAATAAGAGGTTAGCATCTTAGTTTTTCTGTATAAATAATTTTCGCACATTTATAAACACATTTTATATATATATATATATAAGAGAACATTATTTATTTTTTGTAGTCTCATAAATACTTTTATTTTCTTATTTGTTACATTGAAAAGGTACTTTGTGTAGTTATATTTATAGATTTTTTGCTTGATTACGAAAATTGTATTTATGATATGTGATCTATTATAACATTTTATATATACAATATATGAAGAATACAGAAAGTATGTTTAAAAAAGTTAAAACAAAAATAAGTTTGGTTTATAATTTTAATAATTTTATAAGATTTAATTTTTAGGTTATAATCTTTCTGTTTTATTCAAAGCAATAGAGATTTTATTTTAAAAATTATTACAATTATTTTAAAAAGATCTTATATTTCAGTAATTTTGAGCTATTAATCAATACAATGGCGGACAATGATGATCTTTTGGATTATGAAGATGAGGAACAGACTGAACAAGTAGTTGATGGAAGCGGTGATGTTCCTGCAAAGAAGGAAGTAAAGGGCACATATGTTTCTATTCACAGTAGTGGATTTAGAGATTTCCTTTTAAAGCCAGAAATTTTGCGTGCCATTGTTGATTGTGGCTTTGAACATCCATCTGAAGGTAAATAAATGGTTTTGACTGTTTGGATTTTTTATTCACAAATATAATGATGAATTATATTTTATCCTTAAATGCTAGATGGGGACATATGATATTTTGTGATCAAACTAATTATTTCTGATGTTTTTTTTTAAATTAATATTTGGCTTTTTTTAATAGAACATTTGATTAAATAATTTGTTATTCACAGTGCAACACGAATGTATCCCTCAAGCAGTACTTGGGATGGATATACTGTGCCAAGCAAAATCTGGCATGGGAAAAACTGCTGTATTTGTATTAGCTACTCTTCAACAGCTGGAATTGATTGAAAATCAAGTATATGTTCTAGTGATGTGTCACACTCGAGAATTAGCCTTTCAAATCAGTAAGGAATATGAGAGGTTTAGCAAGTACATGCCACATGTAAAAGTAAGTTTTACGAAATTACAATTACATATACATAAGCTATGTGAAAAGTAAATAAGATAATAAATGTTTTCTTATATTATGATTAAATGAAATATAAGAATCTATATTTTTATTGTAAAATTTATTTTGTTACAGGTTGGTGTATTTTTTGGTGGTTTACCTATACAAAAAGATGAAGAAGTCTTGAAGACCATATGTCCCCATATTGTTGTCGGTACCCCTGGTCGTATCCTCGCTCTTGTACGGAATAAGAAACTGAATCTGAAGCATCTGAAGCACTTTATACTTGATGAATGTGATAAAATGCTTGAATTATTAGGTGCGTAATAAATTATTTAATAGTTAATTATATTTTACCTCGTTGGAAAGAACTTTTACATGATGTAAGAGATAATCTTAGTTTACTGTGATGACTACACTTTACCATCACCCAATTGCTGAACAGTTCTTCGATATTTTATTTTTCAAAATGTTAATTTTTTTTTAATAGTGAATAATCATAAGCACTGCATTGTTGTTACAGATATGCGCCGGGATGTACAGGAAATATTCAGAAGCACACCACATAGCAAACAAGTCATGATGTTCAGTGCCACGTTGTCCAAGGAGATACGTCCTGTCTGCAAAAAGTTCATGCAAGATGTAATTACACAATCTTCCTCTTCACTTCGATCTACGATTGCTCCTACTTCGTTGGCCCTGTATTCATATCCAGGACAAAGCTCAGCCCATACTATAAATATCATTGTCGCTTCCGCGGGTTAGGCAACTTAAATGGCGCTTTGAAGAAACGAGTACAAAGTTTGAAAAAATGAATTCCGTTCAATATCTTTCGTGACCGACGCGTATGCTCGGCACTCATGCGCAACGTAATGTTTGCTACTCTCTTTCTCTGGCTCTCTCTGAGTTTAAACTCTGTATCGGATGTTATCATCTGCATACACACATGCAGGGGAGGGAAAAAAAATGTTTGTTTAAAATTGATCGTTTGATGGCTCTTCAATCGTTCAAGATGGCTTGAAAGATCTATTTTGGTTACAATCGATAATTTTTTAATTTACTAATTGCTACGCATTCAAAAGGTACACAGATATAGATATGTCAGGGGATATGGTGGGAGGGAGAAAAACTAGTTGGTATGAAATATTTCTCTACATTCTTATGGGTAACCATTATTGCCATTAGTAGAATAGAATTAGTTGTACAATTTATAGTCACAATTATACATGTGGGTGGGGGGCCAAGAAGACCTCAAGACAACCTCAAGACAGAAGAGCGCAAGAAAGAAGATGCAAGAGGATATTCAGGGGATAATTAAAATTGTTTAGGAAAAAAATGATAAAATGGAAGCGTAGCACAATTAATGTATCCGTGTATATTCAGTCGCAAGTTAAAGCGTTAAATTAAAATTTTAGTATTTTGTGTAAAAATTTAATTTGCGGTAAGACCCATGTGTGGTCTTTTAGAAGTGAAATCAACAAAGACAGAAGTGACGCGAGTAAATCGAGCAATTCCTGCCATCAAAAAGCCATTTGAAAGCTAAACGCGAATCCTCGTGTATCGTGATTGCATTCTTTATTTCGTACGAGTGATAAAGCTGGGTCGCGACTTAGCGGATACCGGAAGTGTTAAGATTTGTGAAAAGCCGAAAGTATATACCAGCCGATAATACGAGTTCGATTCTGGGCATCTTCTCAATGTGCCAGAAATTTGGGAGAAGAGATTTGGCATCGTGTGGCCAGCAGATGAGACCAAACATTCTTTCATGGGTGCGCCTTAAGTTCAGTTGGGGTGAACTGCAGAATTTTCGTTGTTGGCACTACCCAGAGGTTGAAGTCGCCGGACCGTATGTAATATGTATAACTAATCCCGATCGACGATCATGATATGCTCTGCAACTGAAATAACATTGAGAGTTTTTTTGATGACTCTCAATACGTATGGATATATATGGTAACTTAATGAAGCTAATATTGTCTCCGAAAGAAGATGTACATTCGAAATTGCATTAAAAAGAATTGGCCTTTGCCTTTTTCACATTGCTTAAATACGATTTATTTGAAAAATGTTAACTCACGTCTTTATAAACGTGTGAGAAAACATTGTTGCATTATTATAGGGATTAGTGTGTTCTTGGTTCATACGTTTGATTTATTGATTTGTAATCGTATAATCGTCGTCCCTTTACCACACATTCAATCGCGTTTCATATGATTTTTGAACGGCGAAGTGACGGTACACGAGCTTTAAAGAGCACAAAATTTTGCAGCTTGAAAATTGTGTAGGCAAATTAATTGGTTTAATGAATTCGATTTTTTTTTTTTATAAAATAACATTCTTTGTGCAGCCCATGGAAGTCTATGTCGATGATGAGGCCAAGCTCACTTTGAACGGTCTGCAGCAGCATTACGTTAAATTGAAGGAGAACGAGAAAAACAAGAAGTTGTTCGAATTACTCGATGTTCTTGAGTTTAATCAGGTTTGTTATTTGCAGATTAGGACAATCTACAATGGATATGCATTTTTTTTATTGCGAAGAATCGTTACATGATGATGCAAGAGTTCTCTTATTTAAATATGATGACTCCATCTTACCATTACCCACCTTTCTGATAAAGATTCTTCTTTATTTACTTAAAAATTTTCTTATATATGTCGTAAATAATATGATTTATGTATTTGCTACATATCGAATTTGTATTTATTATAATGGATTGCATCTAAGATGTTTCCTCTTTATGTATATTAATAACATAACTAATGCGATTTATTTTAACAATTGCTTTCTATAGGTTGTCATATTTGTCAAGTCTGTGCAAAGATGCATGGCTTTAGCGCAACTTCTAACAGAACAGAATTTCCCTGCAATTGGAATTCATCGTGGTATGACGCAAGAGGAGCGGCTATCTAGATATCAACAGTTCAAAGATTTCCAAAAGGTAAATTCATTAATTCAAAGTTTTATATTGTCGGATAAAATATAAACCCATAAACAGACTATGTAAAGCACAAGTAATAAGATAAAAATCGAAAAAATGTGATATTTTCAGCGTATTTTGGTTGCGACAAATCTGTTTGGACGGGGTATGGACATAGAACGTGTGAATATTGTATTCAATTATGACATGCCGGAAGATTCTGATACATATTTACATAGAGTGGCGCGTGCTGGGCGTTTTGGTACAAAGGTAATAAAATTCCACATAGTATAAATTAATTATTACCTTGTTCTATGTTAATAATGTTAAAATGAGGACAAAGCATTTAATATTGGCTTGTATGTGTAAAAATTGATTTCAATTTTTGCATTTGTTGTAAAA